GATGAATCTGGGTTTGGCGGTTGCCAGGAGAACGCTACTTGCCCGAATGCATAGTGCCAACTGTAAAGTTTGGTGGAGGAATAATAATGGTCTGGGGCTGTTTTTCATGGTTCGGGCTAGGCCCCTTAGTTCCAGTGAAGGGAAATCTTAATGCTACAGCATACAATGATATTCTATACAATTCTGTGCTTCCATATTTGTGGCAACAGTTTGGGGAAGGCCCTTTCCTGTTTCAGCATGACAATGCCCCCATGCACAAAGCAAGGTCCATACAGAAATGGTTTGTCGAGATCGGTGTGGAAGAACCTGACTGGCCTGCACAGAGCCCTGACCTCAACCCCATCAAATACCTTTTGGATTCATTGGAATGCCAACTGCGAGCCAGGCCTAATCGCCCAACATCAATGCCCGACCTCACTAATGCTCTTGTTGCTGAATGGAAGCAAGTCCCCGCAGTAATGTTCCAACATCTAGTGGAAAGCCTTCCCAGAAGAGTGGAGGCTGTTGTAGCAGCAAAGGAGGTACTAACTCCATATTAATGCACATGATTTTGGAATGAGATGTTCGACAAGAAGGTGTCTACAGTACATACATTTGGTAATGTAGTGTATGTCATAGGCTTGTCATTGCATTGACTCAAAAACAGCCCAACCCCTGCTCAGGTAACTTTTCCCATTCCCACTATTTCACAGCGTTATCATCATACTGCTACAGATAACCATATTCCCAGGGGTATTTTCACTAATAATCTTGTGACCATAAAGTTGAATTCCACTGTTAGCTCTGTTACTGTTAGCCCAATTGAGGAGGCCACTGTGGTAAGCTCGTCCAGTGCTTTTACATCAAATACCATAAATATGGATACCCCTTCTGTTTATGAATCACGTAGAGGGCTTGGGTTATTACATATCAACATACGAAGTTTGATGTCAAATATGGAACTTGCATGACACCATCCCGGATATTTTGGTTCTCACAGAGACTTGGCTAAATGGCTGGATCCCGGATAATGACATTGACATTGCTGATTACAACATCTTCAAGTGTGACAGACTGGAAAAAGGGGGAGGGGTGGCTATATACAGTATGTGAAATAAACTCTTGTGGGATCATGTTCTCTAAATATCACTATCCCCCCCCAAATGTTGCTTTTGGTTATAGATGTGGCCATAAGCCAAAATACACATTTATCCTTTGTAGGGATTTCTTATAAAAATAAAAATAAATGGTGGTTTAACTGACCCTGGTCTGCCAGTCAACTGCCTACCACTCTCCCAGACCCTATTTGGGTCAATGGAAGTTCCGTCAACTTTAGTGATTTTTATTTTTATAACTTTCTTCTTGTCATGTGCTAGATGCCTTGTCCAAAATCCACTTGGGCTGATTTGCTTGATCCTTTCTTGCTGCAGCTTTCTGCTCCTCTGATTGCAGAATATTTAACACAAATGTTTACCTTGCAATTATTTCTGGTACCATCCCCAGGGTCTGGAAGGTGGCCCATATACTCCCCCTTGACAAAGGTGGTGACCCATGTGACCCAAATAATTATCACCCCATTTCCAAACTCTCTTGCCAACAAAAATTCTAGAATCCTTGGTAAATACTCAACTTAGATTATCTTTAACTACTAAATGTATTCTAAATATACACCAGTCAGGTTTCAGACCAGGTCATAGCACCATATCTGCTACTTCTTTGGTTTTAAATTATGTTCTTAATTGTTTGGATAAAAATATACATTGTGCGGCCCTTTTTATTGACCTGTCTAAAGCCTTCGACACTGTGGATCACTCATTACTTATTCAGAGGCTTTCATCAATTAGCCTGGACCAGGCTGCATGTAGCTGGTTTCAAAATCATTTAAAGGACAGAACACTGTGTGTATTTACTGATGGTGTTAAATCAGGGATTGATTCTTGGTCCGGTTCTTTTTACATTAACAATATTGGTTTATCTGAAAAAATAAATAATAAAAAACACCTGTATGCAGATGACACTGTGGCGTATGCTATTGCCCCCACAGCTGACCAGGCTCTGTCAGAACTTCAATCTGCCAAGCATTTGTTGAACTGAAATTGGTACTTAATGCAGTTAAAAACAAGTATATGTTAATTTCCAAATCACTAAAAAATATATCTGATGATTTATGCATATGTACTTTGGATGATGCCCTCATTTGTGCACATATAAATATCATCCGGATTGATGAAAAAAAGCATGTTGATTAATTTGTTAAGAAATTAAGAATTAAAATAGTATTCTTCTATAAGAACAGGTCCTGTCTTTTGTTAAATAGAAGAAAACAAATAATTCAGTCAACATTCATTCCGGTTATTGACTATGGCGATATAGTTTATATGGGAGTCCCCTGTAGCTCAGTTGGTAGAGCATGGCACTTGCAACGCCAGGTTTGTGGGTTCGTTTCCCACGGGGAGCCAGTATGAAAATGTATGCACTCACTAACTGTAAGTCGCTCTGGATAAGAAGGTCTGCTAAATGATTCAAATGTAAATATGAATTCAACTGTGTTGAAGCCATTGAATGCAGTTTATCATAGCGTATTGCGCTTTATTACGTGCGTTAGGTTCAGTGAACGTCATTGCTTTTTGTATCAGAATGTGGGCTGGCCCTCCTTGAAGTCTTGTAGATCGGTTTTTTACGATTGTGTTTTCTTTATGTGTATTGTTGTGTATAATAACGTGTATTTTAATGTGTATATGAATGTGTAGTTTAGTGTGTTTATTGTATGTTAATGTGTATTGTGGTGCTATACAGGGCTCATCTGGAAAAGAGACCTTGGTCTAAGCATTGACTGGTCTAAAAAAAATCAAATAAATACAAGTTAGCCATAATCAAGCCCAAAGTTCCATGCTCCTACTCAGAGCCATGGCCTGAGTGGCATTCCTATGCCATTGCCTTGGGAAGTGATCCCTTGGGAGAAGCAAGCTAATACTGTATGTTCAGAGCTAAAGGGCTGGTCTGATTTCAACCCCTCAGTGACCCCATATGATCTGAGTTTACAAACCAAATGGCGAAAGGCGAACCCTTAGAATTGATCAGTCCAGAGAACTAACATAAATTGCATCTAGCAGGATAGTGGAGATGTGCGTAATGAGAACATACGCTTTCCATTTGCACCACGCACTGCTACAGCGATGCTTTGAAATAAGCAACCAGGATTGAGAGGGGGGACAACGACGACGCCGACGACGAACAACGTATGTTCTGTTCTACCTTTAGCGCCCCCTCCCGAATCCGTGACACGAGACGAGGCTCATATCACCATGGCATTTGAGGCAAATCAAACGCGCGCGCTCTGACCGCTTGTGATAGTGACAGTGCATGGAGCCAACGAGTCAAAGTAAGGGATTGGAAACGGTCCAAAATTCCAAAATGCGCTCTTGCATGGTCAGATATTTGGCATGCGTTGGTACACTGAGAAAGTTTAGAAATTCCAGTTGAAACGAAAATAAAATTTTTGTTGAAGTATGTTTATGAATTCATTCGCAAATGCAGCGATAATATGTTCATTATAAAAATGTAAGCTATGTGTTTTACAATTAATCGGCAGAGTGTTTGTAACTTAGTTCAGTGTCTTCGGTGAGGTAACCAAGGCTATTGTGGCTGAGAATAGCTGGGTAGGCCTAACCCATGACTGTCGGTACCTTTTAACAGCTTGGTCAAAGGCGGTGAGAGTAGGCCTTGAGGACAACCGAATTTCCCAGGTCAGAGGGAGCAGCATCCTGGGTCAGACCGTGCCTGCACTGTCCTAATTAGATCTAACAGACAGAGCGGGCGTAGTTATAAAAGACAACGCGGTCCCTGGGGCGTTGGAATCTCCTTCCTCTTCTCTCATAATTCGATTTTTGCGCGGTGCTCTTACTGCTCCTGCTTCCTCACTTCAGCGCCTGTTGACCTCTCTGCAGTTTGGAAGACGCGTAAAAGCGTAAAAAATGTTGGCTATGCCTACGAGAAAATGATGTGTAGCGGAAGGATAATATCACGCTGCTCTGGCGGATTTTGTTCTTTCATTTGCGTATACAAATCTGAATCCGTTAAAAACTGCACAAATTCTTTAACCTAAAAACGAAAACATTATGCGTGTATTTTTTTAATAATGCATTTGTTGCACAAATTGCACAAAATAACTTTGTTTTGTAGCCAACAGGTGTAGCGTGCCCTAAGAGACGTCTTTGCATGCCTACAGTTTTTTTGGACAACAAAGTCTACTTCATGAAATTGTAAATAGCTGTTGTATTACATTTTTTTTTTTTTTTTGATGAATAATATTATTGTGACAAAAATGGGTTAAAACGAATATTTTGAAAGTCACTTATGAAAGTTCATTTATTACAGCGTTGAAACAAAAGAGGAAAGCTTATTTTACTGTGCTTCTATTGGAGAGATTAAAAGGTTCTACTGCCTCCTTGTGACAAATGCCCAAACAGCATCATACACCTACAATCGCATATGTCTGGCCAACCTGGTTAAATAAGGTTAAATATAAATAAATACAATAAACAGGCAATAGATTTCATTCGTCTGAAAAAGATATAGCCTGAACCAAAATCAAAATGGCTTAAAAGGGTGACCTGGCATTGTGGATATTCAGAGGTAGGTATATTTGTGGGGTCCAGGCTACACTCTTAGAAAAAAAGGTGCTATCTAGAACCTAAAAGGGTTCTTCGGCTGTCCCCATAGGAGAATCCTTTGAAGAACCATTTTTGGTTCCAGGTAGACCCTAGTTGATTCCACATGAGCCCTTTTGGATTCCATGAGGGTTCTACATGGAACCCAAAAGGGTTCTATCTGGAACCAAAAAGGGTTCTACTTGGAACCTATGGGGACAGCTGAAGAACCATTCTGGAACCCTAGTGTATATTAGGGTTATAGGATGAGGGATAGTGCCAGGGTCCTCATAAGATTGTTTGGGTTAATGGTTTGGATCAAACGTTAGTCTCATATCCATCTGATGTTTCTGATCCTCAGCGTGCAGTCTAGTCTTTACAGTACTCCCCCTGTAGAAAGGCTTGGACCTGGGCTGCAAGCTAGGAGGAGAGGAAGAGCAGTATCATGTAATAAATAAAGGCTTTCCTTCCTGGTGTCCCAACAGGTTGATTTAATATAGACTATTTATGGTTTATACCGGTTATGTAGTGATTTCTAATGTTTTATTGAATCATGAAGTCGTGTAAGAGTTGATGATTGTAAGCTTCACTTACATTGTGCAACGCCTCAATGATCTCCTCCTCACTTCTCTCCCCAGCTGAAACAATAGAGACCCTCAAATGGGCCATCACAGTTTGGGTATCTGTGAGAAAAAAATATCACAATGATCAGTTTTTTGATGATGATCCTACCAATACTGGACAGTAAACTGTGGCCTATACAAAATCAATAATGTAATTCTTGAGCAACTTGGCAGTGGGGACTATAGCCTACCTTTGTAAGAGGTTATGATGTTCTTATGGTCTGTCTCAGTTGTTTCCTTGGAGACAATGGTTGTGATCAAAATGACTTGACTGCTGACTGGTAATGGTATGTATCGCGTTAGACACAGCAGGGATGGTATGTGTTGCTTGATGAGTCCATGTTGATCTAAGGGCTAAAATAATCCATGTATATGATAAACAATTTGTCATTTGCTGCATTCATTCTTGGTGCATACAACTAGGGGAAAGGTGTGATTAGAGGTGTGATTGACCGTTCAGATACTCACCCATAGTGGAGGCTGTGACTTTTGTGAATGTGCTGCTCTCTAGCGGTGATGGTGTAGTATTGCCGCCTCCTGTGACTCATCTGTTGTGAAAAGTGGAAAATGTGAAAAGTGATATTAGTAAGTGAGCACTATTTACAGATGTGGCATTCTTTGTCGAAACTGGTTCTTATCCTGGATCAAATGTTAAACTACACTGAACAAAAATAAACGCAATATGCAACAATTTCAAAGACTTTACTGAGTTACAGTCCATATAAGGAAATCAGTCAATTGAAATACATTCATCAGGCCCTAATCTATGGATTTCACATGACTGGTATGTATCTGTTGGTCACAGATACCTTAAAAGGTTGGGGTATGGATCAGAAAACCAGTCAGTATCTGGTGTGACCACCATTTGCCTCATGCAGCGCAACACATTTTGTATTTATTTTTATTTAACTAGGCAAGTCAGTTAAGAACAAATTCTTATTTACAACGACGGCCTACACCGGCCAAACCCGGACAACGCTGGGCCAATTGTGCCCCGCCCTATGGGACTCCCAATCACGGCCGGTTGTGATACAGCCTGGAATCGAACCAGAGGGTCTGTAGTGACACCTCAAGCACTGAGATGCAGTGCCTTAGACCGCTGCACCACTCGGAAGCACATCTCCTTTGCATAGAGTTGATCAGCCTGTTGATTGTGGCCTGTGGAATGTTGTCCCACTCCTCTTCAATGGCTGTGAGAAGTTGCTGGAAATTGGCGGGAACTGGAACACGCTGTCGTATACGTCGATCCAGAGCATCCCAAACATGCTCAATGGGTGACATGTCGGGTGGGACATTTTCAGCTTCCAGGAATTGTGTACAGATCCTTGCCACATGCGGCCGTGCATTTTCATGCTGAAAAATGAGGTGATGGCGGCGGATGAATGGCACGACAATAGGCCACAGGATCTCGTCACGGTATCTCTGTGAATTCAAATTGCCATTGATAAAATGCAATTGTGTTCGTTGTCTGTAGTTTATGCCTGCCCATACCATAACCCCACTGCCACCATGGGGCACTTTGTTTACAACGTTGACATCAGCAAACCGCTCACCCACACGATGCCATACACACTGTCTGCCATCTGCCTGGTAAAGTTTAAACCGGGATTCATCCATGAAGAGCACACTTCTCCAGCGTGCCAGTGGCCATCGAAGGTGAGTATTTACCCACTGAAGTTGGTTACACTGCCTAACTGCAGTCATGTCAAGATCCTGGTGAGGACGATGATCATGCAGATGTATGCCGTATGTGGAAGTCCTGGATTGGCGTGGGTACACGTGGTATGCGGTTGTGAGGCCGGTTGGACGTACTGCCAAGTTCTATTAAACAACGTTGGAGGTGGCTTATGGTAGAGAAATTAACATTCAGTTCTCAAGCTACAGGGCTCCCGAGTGGCGCAGCGGTCTAAGGCACTGCATCTCAGTGCTAGAGGTGTTACTACAGACCCTGGTTCAATTCCGGGCTGTATCACAACCCTGCTGTGATTGGGAGTCCCTTAGGGTGGCGCGCAATTGGCCCGGGGTAGGCCGGCATTGAAATTAAGAATTCGTTCTTAACTCACTTTCCTAGTTATATAAGAAAACAATTATACAGCTCTGGTGGACATTCCTTCATGCCAATTGCACGCTCCTTCAAAACTTTAGAGATCTGTGGCATGGTGTTGTGAGACAAAACTGCACATTTTAGAATAGCCTTTTATTGTCCCCAGCACAAGGTGCACCTGTATAATGATCATTCTGTTTAATCAGCTTCTTGATATGCCACACCTGTCAGGTGGATGGATTATCTTAGCAAAGGAGAAATGCTCACTAACAGGGATGTAAACAAATTTGTGCACACAATTTGAGAGAAATAAGCTTTTTGTGTGCATGAACATTTTCTGGGATCCATTATTTCAGCTCATGAAACATGGGACCAACACTTTACATGCTGCGTTTATATTTTTGTTCTGTATACATTGTTTTTTTCTACAGGATAGAATACTTGGTTATCATCATACACTCACCAAGAGGAGTGGACGTTGTGACTTCTGTTATTGTACTACCATCTTCTGGTGAAGGTGGAGTATTGCTGTCTACTGTGTTAGATTCTGAAGGTGTAGTACTGCTGTCTACTGTATTAGATGTTGAAGGTGTAATACTTCTGTCTACTGTATTAGATGGTGAAGGTGTAGTACTGCTGTCTACTGTATTAGATGGGAAGTTGTAGTAATACTTTCTCCTGTGGTTGTCTCTTGTGTGAAAACAAGGAACAATGGTGGCAGTTAAAAGTCACGATTAAAACAACAGACTGTTGAGAAAACATGTAAAATGTTATGAAATAAGTATGATTTCAACTGGTTGCTATTGTATGTACACTCTCAGAAATAAATGTGAATATTTTTTGCTTGTGGTACCCTGTAAGGTAATCCTTTGTACCTTTAGTTATATGTACAGTGCATTCGGAATGTATTCCGACCCCTTTACCTTTTCCACATTTTGTTACGTTAGAGCCTTATTCTGAAATGGATTGAAAAAAAAAAAATCCTCCTCAATCTACACAATACCCCATAATGACAAAGCGAAAACAGGTTTTTAGAAATGTTGGCAAATGTATTAAAAATAAGAAACAGAAATACCTTATTTACATAAGTATTCAGATCCTTTGCTATGAGACTCAAAATTGAGCTCAGGTACATCCTGTTTCCATTGATCATCCTTGAGATGTTTCTACAACTTGATTGGAGTCCACCTGTGGTAAATTAAACTGATTGGACATGATTTGGAAAGGCACACACCTGTCTATATAAGGTCCCACAGTTGACAGTGCATGTCAGAGCAAAAACCAAGCCATGAGGTCAAAGGAGTTGTCGGTAGAACTCAGAGACAGGATTGTGTCAAGGCACAGATCTGGGAAAGGACACCAAAAAATGTCTGCAGCATTGAAGGTCCCCAAGAACACGGTGGCCTCCATCATTCTTAAATGGAAGAAGTTTGGAACCACCAAGACTCTTCCTAGAGCTAGCCGCCCAGCCAAACTGAGCAATCGGGGGAGAAGGGCCTTGGAATTCTGAAGGAGATGGGAGAACCTTCCAGAAGGACAACCATCTCTGCAGCACTCCACCAATCAGGACTTTATGGTAGAGTGGCTAGATGGAAGCTACTCCTCAGTCAAAGGCACAGTTTGACACAAGGCACCTAAAGACTCTCAAACCATGAGAAACAAGATTCTCTGGTCTGATGAATCCAAGATTGAACTCTTTGGCCTGAATTCAAAGCGTCACATCTGGAGGAAACCTGGCACCATCCCTACGGTGAAGCACGGTGGTGGCAGCATCATGCTGTGGGGATGTTTTTCAGCGGCAGGTACTGGGAGACTAGTCAGGAAAGATGAACGGAGCAAAGTGCAGATAGATCCTTGTTGAAAACCTGCTCTAGAGCGCTCAGGAGCTCAGACTGGGGCAAATGTTCACCTTCCAACAGGACAATGACCCTAAGCACACAGCCAAGACAACCCAGGAGTGGCTTCGGGGACAAGTCTCTGAATGTCCTTAAGTGACTAAGCCAGAGCCCGGAGTTGAACCCGATCGAACATCTCTAGAGAGACCTGAAAATAGCTGTGCAGCGACGGTCCCCATCCAACCTGACAGAACTTGAGAGGATTTGCAGAGAAGAATGGGAGAAACGCCCCAAATACAGGTGTGCCAAGCTTGTAGCGTCATACCCAAGAAGACTCGAGGCTGTAATCGCTGCCAAAGATGCTTCAACAAAGTACTGAGTAAAGGGTCTGAATACTTACGTAAATGTAATATTTCAGTTTTGCTAAAACCTGTTTTTTCTTTGTCATTATTGGGTATTGTGTGTAGATTGATGAGGGAAAAAAACAATTTTATCCATTTTAGAATAAGGCTGTAACGTAACAAAATGTGGAAAAAGTCTTGGGTTCTGAATACCTACCGAATGCAATGTAATCTACCTTCAAATTAGTGAATTTGGCTATTTCAGCCACACCTGTTGCTGACAGGTGTATAAAATCAAGTACACAGCCATGAAATATCCATAGACAAACATTGGCAGTAGAATGGCCCGTACTGAAGAGCTCAGTGTCTTTCAACGTGGCACTGTCATATGATGCCACCTTTCCAACGTCAGTTCGTCAAATTTCTGCCCTGCTAGAGCTGCCCTGGTCAACTGCAAGTGCTGTTATTGTGAAGTGGAAATGTCTAGGAACAGTAACGGTTCAGCCACAAAGTGGTAGGTCACACAAGGTCACAGAATGGGACCGGCGAGTGCTGAAGCGCGTAGCGCGTAGAAATTGTATGTCCAAGGTTGCAACACTCACTACCGAGTTTCAAACTGTCTCTGGACGCAACGTCAGCACAATAACTGTTGTCGGGAGCTTCATGAAATGTGTTTCCATGGCCGAGCAGCTGCACACAAGCCTAAGATCACCATGCGCAATGCCAAGCATCTGCTGGAGGGGTGTAAAGCTTGCCGCAATTGGACTCTGGAGCAGTGGAAACGCGTTCTCTGGAGTGATGAATCATGCTTCACCATCTGGTAGTCCGACAGACAAATCTGGGTTTGGCGGATACCAAGAGAACGCTACCTGCCGAATGCATAGTGCAAACTCTAAAGTTTGGTGGAGGAGGAATAATGGTCTGGGGCTGTTTTTCATGGTTCGGGCTAGGCACCTTAGTTCCAGTGAAGGGACATCTTAACACTACAGCATACAATGACATTCTAGACGATTTTGTGCTTCCAACGTTGTGGTAACAGTTTGGGGAAGGACCTTTCCTGTATCAGCATGACAATGACATTCAAAATACTGTTTAATATAACTAAATATTTCAAATAAAACCAAAAAGTAAACAAGAAGAGTTTAATTCCAAAAACACTATACAGTGGGGAAAAAAAGTATTGAGATGAGAGAGGCCTGTAATTTTCATCATAGGTACACGTCAACCATGACAGACAAATTGAGATTTTTTTTTGCAGAAAATCACATTGTAGGATTTTTAATGAATTGATTTGCAAATTATGGTGGAAAATAAGTATTTGGTCACCTACAAACAAGCAAGATTTCTGGCTCTCACAGACCTGTAACTTCTTCTTTAAGAGGCTCCTCTGTCCTCCACTCGTTACCTGTATTAATGGCACCTGTTTGAACTTGTTATCAGTATAAAAGACAACTGTCCACAACCTCAAACAGTCACACTCCAAACTCCACTATGGCCAAGACCAAAGAGCTGTCAAAGGACACCAGAAACAAAATTGTAGACCTGCACCAGGCTGGGAAGACTGAATCTGCAATAGGTAAGCAGCTTGGTTTGAAGAAATCAACTGTGGGAGCAATTATTAGGAAATGGAAGACATACAAGACCACTGATAATCTCCCTCGATCTGGGGCTCCACGCAAGATCTCACCCCGTGGGGTCAAAATTATCACAAGAACGGTGAGCAAAAATCCCAGAACCACACGGGGGGACCTAGTGAATGACCTGCAGAGACCTGGGACCAAAGTAACAAAGCCTACCATCAGTAACACACTACGCCGCCAGGGACTCAAATCCTGCAGTGCCAGATGTGTCCCCCTGCTTAAGCCAGTACATGTCCAGGCCCGTCTGAAGTTTGCTAGAGTGCATTTGGATGATCCAGAAGAGGATTGGGAGAATGTCATATGGTCAGATGAAACCAAAATAGAACTTTTTGGTAAAAACTCAACTCGTCGTGTTTGGAGGACAAAGAATTCTGAGTTGCATCCAAAGAACACCATATTATACCTACTGTGAAGCATGGGGGTGGAAACATCATGCTTTGGGGCTGTTTTTCTGCAAAGGGACCAGGACGACTGATCCGTGTAAAGGAAAGAATGAATGGGGCCATGTATCGTGAGATTTTGAGTGAAAACCTCCTTCCATCAGCAAGGGCATTGAAGATGAAACGTGGCTGGGTCTTTCAGCATGACAATGATCCCAAACACACTGCCCAGGCAACGAAGGAGTGGCTTAGTAAGAAGCATTTCAAGGTCCTGGAGTGGCCTAGCCAGTCTCCAGATCTCAACCCCATAGAAAATCTTTGGAGAGAGTTGAAAGTCTGTGTTGCCCAGCGACAGCCCCAAAACATCATTGCTCTAGAGGAGATCTGCATGGAGGAATGGGCCAAAATACCAGCAACAGTGTGTGAAAACCTTGTGAAGACTTACAGAAAACGTTTGACCTGTGTCATTGCCAACAAAGGGTATATAACAAAGTATTGAGAAACTTTTGTTATTGACCAAATACTTATTTCCCACCATAATTTGCAAATAAATTCATTAAAAATCCTACAATGTGATTTTCTGGATTTTTTTTCCTCATTTTGTCTGTCATAGTTGACGTGTACCTATGATGAAAATTACAGGCCTCTCTCATCTTTTTAAGTGGGAGAACTTGCACAATTGGTGGCTGACTAAATACTTTTCAGATATTTAGCTAAATTAGCTATTTTTGTTTAAAGAACTTATGAAAGAGATTGGTTTGTTTTTTCCCAATCTAATCATAGCATAGGGTTGTTAAGTGACAGACATGTATTTGTTTGAAATCTATAGGTTAATGGTTTCATTTCAGAGAGACAAACGATCACATTTTGTTGCAACATGAGACATATTACTTTTTTTTATAAAGAACTGTACAAATGATACACTTGTGACACCAATATTGAAAGAAAAATATTAATACATATATATAACATTTTATCAATACAATAACATAAGCTCTGGTCTGGGCTCTGGTAAAAAATAATGCACTATATAGGGAACAGGGTGCCATTTGAGAAAAGACCTAACTCTAACCAAACACTACTGCATATTGCTAGATTTATGATCTGTTGAATTTATATGTTAAATACTGTATACAGGATACAAACATTCCATTCCAGCTAAACAATGGATATATAGCATTTTGCAGCAAAATAATGCTTAGCAATTAACCGAAATGTCTGTTATTTTTTGTTTTTTAAACAACTAATTGACGATGTCGGTTCAATTATTTGAATTCTATTTAGTTTTTTTTTGTTTTTTTCTGTGAGCTCAATGCGCACTTTGCACAGTTTTTCTAGAGATAAATCAGATCAAGCCATACTGAGGTGAGTATGGGGCAGACATGGAGAAAGAGAGAAAAGAGAAGAAATAGAAGAATGCTTGATCGAGAGGCTAGTTGCTTCACAATGTATCTCTACCTGAAAATACATGGTGTTCAGCAGTCATAAAAGTA